GAGCTCTGCTCTCATCAGCAGCTCCTTCTGCTCCAGTGAGATTAAATGATAATTTTCTACCCGACTGCCCAGCTCCCCAACTGTCCTTGTCAGTTCTTGCTGCCTCAGTGGCCACAGGAGTCCCAGGCACCCAAAAATTAAACCTCAGAGCTCTACTGGGACCAGAAGTTACCTGTGCCACAATCTGCATGTCACCTCCTCCTTCCAGCTGCTGAACAGACTTGGAACCTGTGGCCACTCCACAGGACTCCTGGGTGCAGGGTGGCACAGAGGCTACAAGTTTATCTGTGTTTAAAGAAAAAGGTCATGAGGGGGTCCGTTAATAGTTAACACCCCATATCTAGCTCTAGAAGTCCCTAAACCTCAGACAACTGGATGCTGGAAAATCTATTAGAGACAGATCTTTCTCTGCTCACCCTGTTAAGTTTTTCTGCAGCATCTGTTCTTGGCCATTGCAGGAACACAGGGAACTCTGGCTCTGGTCCTACACAACCCATCTGATGCTTTTATGGCTCCTGGACTGGAACTCCATAGCTCTCAAACTCAACACCTAAACTAAATCATCCCTGCTGAACAAGCAGACCATGCTCTTAAATCAGCAAGGTATTTATTTCAGTGGTAGGGGGGAAAAAAACCCAACCACCTCTCAAAGGCATTTTGGGACAACCATTCTGTGTGCTGGCAGCCTGGAACACCCAGAATTCATCCAGGGACACTGCATGGTCAGAAATCACAGAATTCCAGGTTGGTTTGGGTTTGGAAAGACCTTAAAGCCCACCTTGTTCCCTGCCATGGGCAGGGATACCTCCCACCTGACCAGGTTGCTCCACAGAATCACCCGGTCTCACCTTACGAGCATTGGGTTGGGTTTTATTGTTTTGTTTTTAGTTTCCAGGCTCAGTTCAGGAGGACCAGAGCCAGGAAGCTTCATGTTCAAAGCCAGTGGCTCCACCATTGTCTTGGACTTCAAAGGATGGAGCAGGGGATGTTTATCTTCTTCCCTCTGAACTTTCCTTTTGCTTACCATACTCTTAAACTCATCTTTGTGAGGCAGGACTAGAACTACATGCAATACTATAAATAAAAGGATTATTTATAAGTCACAGTGTTTATGAATATTAGAATATTATAAATATAGAAGGAAATAGAAATATTCTCACAGTGTGACATTTTCAGTCTATTTCTGCTTTCCCCAAGTTAAAATAGAGTCAGATGCTTTTAAAACCACACAGGTTTATCATGCTGTACTCCAGTTAACATCACATGGATTCTCAAATCTGCATCCTTAAAAGGATGCTTCGATGACTAAAATCAGACCTCCCTTTTTGTCACTTCTAAAGGAAAATGTTGATTCATGCTAAGAAAGGGACCAAACCCCTCAGGACAAAGTCTGCTGGGAAGCTGCACTGTGTCTCCTGCCCTATCTTTGGGCTCTCACCTTATTTCTGATCAGTTGTCCCAGCATCAGGAAAACTTTCCTCCTTCCTCCAAAGTTTCCCTGAGAAAGAGTAAGACCAAAATGTCATTATTTTCAAGGAAATGTCACCAGGTCCTTCTGTCCCCTCTTCCCTTAGCCCTCCCACTGGCCTGTCCCATTTGGTGACACCCTTTAACTCACTGAACCAGCACAAAACTGGAAAAAGAAGGAAAACTATAAATTATTATGTGTATTGTCATTTCCTACAAGGACAAAGCTGGGAGCAGCCTGGAAACCACCGAGCCCTCTGCAAAGAAAGCAATCTGATGGGCAAAGACTCTGCCAGACTAATTGCTGCTGCTGTTCCTGCTGGATGTATCCTGCCAGGCTGCCCAAGGAAATTCTGGAACACTGGAGAAAGTCGCCTTCACTTATGTTCTGAATTAATGTGCCAGAGAGGCCAAGGTTTGTAGCCCCATAATGTGATGGGAAAACTATGGTTCCTGTGGTAGGGAACACTAAGAGCTCCTGTCTGGCTGGGGGAGCAAGGAAGAAACATTATTCCACGGAAATCTGTCCAACACAAGTCACGTGAAGTCAGAAACCAAGGCTGAAGGCAACTTCTGATCTGGTGCAACAAGCCACCCAAGCACACCCACACCAGAGGGTGTCTGTGTCACGGAGATCCGTGTCTGTACAGAAACAATGAACACCTCAAACATCAACGTCTGCTCCCGGGACAGATCTTATCAGTTGGGTTCACTTCCCACATGGGAAGGGCTCAAGCATCATTGTGAAAGCAGAGGAAGATGGAGGTGGGCGATCACGGAGGTTGAGGTACTGCAAAAGCCAGAATCTGGCAGATTCCTCTCCGTCTCCATTTCACCCTTTTGCTGGAAAATTAACGCCCTTCCAGCACTGTTTTGCTCCTCATGGAGACAGCTCAAAATGAAGGAGGCGAAGTGAAACAGCCCTCGAGTTGGCCAAAGTAAAAAAGCAGAGAGCATATGGTGCAGAGCCCAGATCCCATCCAAACTCCCACCCCCTCCAGGTGTCCACAGTGATGGTCAAGGCATGAGAATGAATAACAAGATTATGGAAAACACAGGAGGGAAAACAGCTGCTCCCATCCCTGCTGTAAACACCCACTGTTACTGCTTCCCTTGTCAGCTCCTCTACAGGCAAAGAGGGAACTGAAACAAAAGTTTCTCTTTGATGTCAGAAACAGGAGGTCCCTGCTTACGTTGGGGAACTGTGGTTTGACCTCCACATTTTCCCAGGGTTAGCCAAGCACTTCCCAGTCTGCTCCCAGTGAGGTGTCAGGCCACAGATGCTTGGCTGGCAAACGGAGGGTGGTGGAGGTTGGGCACGCAGGCAGGATACAGATAAAACTGAGATCCAACCAAAACAGATTCATCTTTAACCCAAAACATATTTTTAAGAGGAAACCAAGGGTGGGGCAGGAGGAGGGGAACATGTCAGGGCAGCGGCACCAAGGATGGACCACAAGGACTGGGTAGGTGGGAGACAGCACACTGCAGTTTGCTCCCAAAGAGCAGAACCTGTTCTGCTGTGGTCAGTCACTGACAATTTAGTTTATCTCATTTCAACCCCTGCCATGGGCAGGGACACCTTTTACTAGTCCAGGTTGCTCCAAGCCCCTCCAACCTGGCCCTGAACACTTCCAGGGATGGGGCAGCCACAGCTTCTCTGAGCAACCTGTGCCAGGGCCTCACCACCCTCACAGGGAAGAATTCCTCCCTAAAACCCAATCTAAACCTACACTCTTGTAGTTTAAAGACATCCTCCCTTGTCCTATCACTCCATGCCCTTGTAAAGCCCTGTAAGGATCACATTCATCTCCCAGCATCACTTCCACCTCCCAGCTGGTAGCAGGAGCCACTCAGCCGCTGGAGCAGGTGGGGAGGCAGCGCTCACCTGGCTGCTGCAGAGCCACTTCTAAGTCACTTTGAGCTTCCACCCTCCCACCACAAGAGCTCCTGCAGCAATGTTCCTCCTTCCTCCCCCTCCATCAGCAGCGTTGCAGGTGCCAGGCAGAGCCTCTCTTCCCATCCCTGCAGCTCTAAATTTGCCTGGTTGCTGAGCACGTCTATTCCAGGCAGCCGAAGGCAGGCGAGGCGAGGGAAGCGAAGCGCACGCAGCAGTCGCGTCGTGAGTGGCAGCGCTGCCAAGTTCTCCTCTGATACAGCCAGTTCAGGCAGGGAATGTGTTTGAGCTGCTGCTCCAAGCCAAGTAATGCCATTTGTGAAAGAAATCGGAAAAAAGTTGTTTCCATCCCAAATATCCAGGCAGTTCTCAGTTACGTGGGGACATGGGGAAGCAGAAATAGCCATTACAGCAGAAAAAACTACTTGATACCAAATGTGGATCAACAAAGGGATCAAATTTTAAGAGTGAGGTCAGGACAGGAAAAAAAATACCATTTTGGGACACCAATAAACCCTAAGCTGAGAATTGACATACTACAGGAAACCAAACTGATCACCCTGGTCTCACAGCAAGCCCTGCTCGCCCCGAGCAGATCCAGGAGAGCCTGCAAATGCTTCTCAGCTTTGGGCAGGAGCATCTGTGATACGGCTAATCCGCAGTTATCCCAGGAGGATTGGGGGCTGACAGCAGGGCTTGTCTCCCCAGTGGGGAGGGGTGGGAGGATGCTGTGCATATGCTATTTCCTCCCCCAGCAAAGGCAGGAGCAAAGGCACCAGAGATGGGAACGGATTAATCAGTTTTCTTACACATAAAATCCCAGCCGTCATTTAGACTGGGCTTCCAGAGTTCATACTGAGGGCAGGAACCTGGAAGGATGTATAGTCAGGAAAGCTATTTATGTCCATCACATCTTATCTCCTACATATTGAAACACAAAAATAGTCCCTCCCTCCCAAGAGTCTTAATCCTCTAGACAGGATTAAAGCCTATCAGTCAAGAGCTACCCTGGAGAGAACAATCCCACATTTGCTGGGTGATAGCTGAGATGGTATCAGTAAGGATCAGAGAGCTTGCAGAGGAATTAGAGGGGAGCACAGCAGCCTGAAGGTAAAGTAGGAGAGTATTTTCTGCTCTTAGCATGCACGGTGGCATTTCAGGCAAACCCGCTCTCAGCTCCCATTTTCATGCCTCGTTAATCTCAATGGTACAATCAGAGTGATGCCAAGCCCAGCTCCGTGTGTCTGGCTTCTCTCAGCTCCTACTGATTGTAATTACAGGCAAATAGATTTAATTGGCTTTCCACCCCAGGTCCTGGGCACCTTGTGGCCCCCTGGATTAGAAGACACTTTGGCAAACACTGGCTGCAGCCAGACTGGGCTGTATCAGTGGCATTTCTCCACCTCTCACTCTGGCAACGGCCTCAACCCTTGTGCTTGTCATTCTTTTGTTACTGTCACTTCCTGGTGGCCATGAACAACTGGACCCTCATCCTTGTCAGCTTGCATGGGAGTGCCCTCTGCTGAAACAACAGCCTCCTACAAAGGCAAAGCTTTTCCTCCAGTTCCCTTCACGCCATGAGCACGTCGCCTCAGAGATCTGGAACGCAACCCAGGACAGATCACAACCCAGACAACAGGCAAAGGAATACAGCCCATTTAATACAGAGAGAGCACAGAGAGGTGAACTGAGGCATATCAGGTGGGCAGGAATGAAACAACAGGCAGGACAATGTGTAGACAGACCAAAGATTGCAGAACTGAAGGGGCCACATCTCTCCAACACAAAGCCACCTCTTCCTTTCTCCATGCTGGACAAAGTCCTGAGGTCTTGTCTCTGGTGGGCAGAAGGAGGAGGTTGGAGAGAGTATCTGAAGCTGGAGGAGCTGCCCTCAGCATGCTCAGTGCTCCCAACAGGAGAGCAAGGAAAGGGGCAGCCACTCCAGCTGCTCCATGCTGTAGAGAGGAACCCCAGCGCAAAGAGTGAGGGCCAAGTCCCAGACCCACGAATGTCATGGCTGCCTCAGTGCAACTCACCAGTCCAGACAAAAATTTAGGGAGCCCCACCAGCAAAGATGAGCTCCAGGGCAGCCTGAATGTCCCCCCCAGTGGCCTGCAGGGCTCGGAGACTTAGTTCATCATCGTGTATTCCCATGTCTCGCAGCTGCTGGAGCTGTGGCTGCCACTGGCTCTACATACAGGAAAGAAAAGGAGTTAAGGTGGGCGTGAGAGTCCAAGCAGGGAAAAAAAAGTCTTCTCCACAGCCCACTCTTCCATGCTGCATTCTCCCTCCTCCTCTAGCTCACAACCACAATGCTAAGTGTTCAAACAGATCCTGAAAGCTCAAATTCTTCCTGCAAACTCCCCAAATCCACTATCCCACCATCCCATTTCCAACCAGTACTTTTATAGTGGTCTGTCATGCCCCCTCCAGCTTAATGCCCTGCCACAGGAGCTGGCTGGAAGAACCATCTCCATGCTGTAACAGTGGGATATGGGATTCTACAGGCTCCTGAAGGAAGAGGCTGTGACACTGACCTGCAGACTGGGCTGCCCTGAGGCCTGCAAGGCATGTTGTAAGGCCTGGCTGAACAGGTCATTGGTGATGGGTGTTCCCGACTGGACACTGGATGACATCGGGGATGTCCCAGAGGAATGACCCTAGGAGGAAATAAGTTGTACACCGATCAGGAGAACACTTAGAGGAACCAGAGCCAGCCCAGAGCAACGCCTGCAGCACCCCTCCATCCTCAACCTCACATGGAAGAGAACTCAGCCACGAGGAGACAAAGAAGCCAGGTGTCCCAGAGCTGAGCCGGGCTTGTGGCTGTTGTTACCTGGGTGCCAGGGGTGGGTGTGTGGGAGCTGCTCTCCGGGGTGCTGGCCAGCGCCAGCGCGGTCGCCAGCTCACTCTGGGTGATGGGCCGGGGTCCCGCAGCCCCCGTGTAGCCCAGGGAAGCCGGGCGGGAGCCTGAAGTGCTGCTGGATGGTGTGGACCTGGTGCTCTGCATGGAGAAAAAAAAACAAAACAAAACCACACCTCTGATGTTGTTGTTTGTGTCCCAGTAAAACCCGGCTCACCTGTGCATTACCACAGATCCCTTTCCTGAAACACTCAAACCTCACCGGTGTGGAACTTTTTAAAAATAAACATGACAGGGTGGGATGTGCTTTTTTTCACAAACTCAGCTATGGAAACTGGCTGTAAACCTTTTAATATGTCATTCACCAGCCTAAAACCACAGTGTTATTAGCCTGTAACAAAACAATTCACTCTGGAAAGGCACTTCTTTGGCCTAAATATCCAGTTTCTCTTATAAAACACTTTGTCCTTTGGAGAAGAAGACTGCAGAAGGGCAGGGAGCAACATTCCCACGCTTCTCATCCATACACAGCTATTCCTGCATCCATTTGGCTACGAAGGTGTTTCCTCTGAGGACATGTGCTGTTTCATTCTTATGTTGTGTGTTCAGCACTCACGAAAATCCTCGCTTGAACAGCATCCAAGCACACCACAATCAATATGTTTGTCTCCACAATACCCTCAGGAGCCAGAGCAGCTCATGCTGTTCATCAGACAGGAAGAGTAAAGCTTTGGAGTCTCAGGGCTACAAGCTAAACCCATACTGAAAGCCCAAAACAGGTGTTCCACCCAAACTGACCACTTACCTGGTGGAAATCATCTTCATCATCAGAGAGACCTTCAAAGAGAAAGCCACCTGCACCAGGAAGGAGAATAAATGGCAGGAATTAGGTACCAGATGAGAATCCCATGGAGTTAGGAGAGAGACCTCAGCACCAAGAAGTTCATGTGCACTGGGAGACAGGTCAGGTCCATCCTCTGGGCACTGCAGAGGCCATGGCCAACACTGAGCACACACACAGGGTTGGAAGAGGCTCTGAGGACAAAGTGTCTCAGGCGAGTCTCACCCAGTCCAAAATCTATCAAACCACAGGAAGTGTTTCCAGCTCAGGAACCTAAACCTCTTGTCCTTCCAGCCTGGGGGTGACTGTGTCAGTACAGCACAGATGGGGACTGCCCATCCCTGGAAGTGTTCAAGGCCAGGTTGGACAGGGCTTGGACAACCTGGTCTAGTGGAAGGTGTCCCTGCACATGGCAGGGGGGTAGAACTCAATCACCTTTAATTTCCCTTCCAACCCAAACCAGTCTGTGATTCCATGATTTTACACTGGTCTGCAAATTCTGCAGCACATCATTCCTGCAGGCTCTCCATCACCTGTGTGGCTGAACGTACCTGGCATGTCCCGGTAGGAGCCAGAGGACATGGCTCGGGAGGATGTCTCCGGGGCTGGGAGCGGGGTGCTGCCAGCCACTGAGTGCAGGACAAGGACAATGGCATTCACAAGGGCAGGGTGAGCTGGGATCAGCCTGGAGAGAAACAGGGGAAGAATGAATCACGTACACAGGGAAACTAAGAAATCAGCCCTTTAAAGCTTAGGGCACGGCCATCCCCACTGGCTGCACCAACACCGCTGGTGTTCAGCACAAACACCTGCAGGCAGCTGAGTCTCCTTCTTGATCCCATGTTGACCTTTCCATGGTTCACATCTCCCACATACTCTCATGGGAGCAACTCTGGTGTGAGCAACCAGATCCAGATCTGAACTCGTGATCTGGAGACAGTGATGGCCCTGGCTCCCACTAACTATCCTTTGGTTTAATCCAAGTGGTACACCTCTCTTTCCTGCTGCTGAGGGAGAAGTGTCCTGGTTTGAATCCTGGTGTATCCATACTGGCAGGCAGGAGTAAAGCCCTCTCTCCAGCCCCAGAGAGAAGCAGCTGATACACAGTGAGACAAAAGCACTGCTGAGTCACTGCCCCAGCTCACATAAACTTACGTGTCCAACATGTTGGGGTCTGCAAACACTGAAAAGAGATCCTTGTCCTGCAGGACTCCTGGAAGGGACCAGGAAACATGATGGGACAGGATACAAGAAATAGGAGACACTCAAACAAAAGCCATTTTGTTTTTCAGGAACTGAGTCACAAGCAAACACATAAATACTCTTATTATTGTTCTCTCTCAAGCCTTTCATGTCTTCCTGGAGAGACTTTTGACTACAGCCACACATCCAAGGGATGGGGCCTTCCCAGCAGATCCCATGGGTTCTCCACCTTAAGGGCAGGATCCAATCTGACCCCCAGCTCACTCCAGCCAGGCTGTGATTGCATCCCAAATTCTATCTGCCTCAGACTGGTATCATCCCGGGTCAGAACAAGCAAGCTAAATTTAATGGACATTTTGGTAACACTTTGCAGCAAGGAGAAAGCACTCATCCCTACTGTTCCCTAATCCTTCTGAAGCCAACACCCATCCCCAAACGTTCCCAATGGAGCACAACTTTGACACCTGAGCAGTCACTGACTCTTATGCTCCACAAAGGGATAAAAAAAGGTCGGTTTTCCGAGACAAGGGCAACACTCCCTTCCCCCCATCAGGAATTATATCCAGATTCGGCTTTCTCTCTCCCTTCCCCCTATTAGGAATTAAACCTTTATTTGGCTTTCCTCAGATCCTCTGGATCACATCTAGACTCACCCAAAGCAACAGGGTCGCTGCTGAGGCCAGGAGTAGCTACAATGATCTGATCCAGCGACTCCTTGTTTCCCAGCATTTTGAAGACCTGCCAGGGAAACCAGAGCAGACCAGCAGCATCACCCAACCAGGCTCCACTGTGGGATTCTCCTCACAGGAAGGGGACAGCCAAAAATCACCCCAAAAGCATAGGAGGAAGCCCAACTCACTGCATCTCTGTAGGCAGGGCTGCTGTGCAGAGCAGTGTGCAGAACACGGAATTCCCGGACTGCTGCCACCTTATCCACGGGCTCTGAGGAAGGGAAAACAACAGAACAAAACAGAGATCTCCCTCTGTTAGCTTCAACAGCCATTTTACATCCCACTGGGACTTCCATGATGCAATTCTTTAATATCCTTGGGTTCAGTTTGTGTCTTGGTACAGTTACACAGAGTAACAACTTACTGCACTGTCAGGTAATAAAAACACACAGAAATATCCTCCTACATGTACCAAAGGAGTTCTATTAAAGACATAACAAGTCTAAACCACTCCAGCTCATTCTACAGTCAGGCAGAGCAGGAGCACACACAAGCCTGCTCATCCCTGGAGCTGAGGAACCAGCTTTGCTCCAGATTGTCTTGCAACACCCTAAAATCCAGGCTGTTAAGGAAGGGATAGTCCCTCTCCACACTGCACGGCTCATTCCTTAACTCTTCCGTCAGCAAGAAAATTAACACCCATTTGCTGCTGTTAGAGGTGGGGAGCTCCCAAACAAATGGATTAATTCCACCTGGAAACCTCAGGAATGAAACAAGAGAAGCTGTTCCTCAGTCCCTTAAACACATACCCCAAGGAGATCCAAAGGGGATCCAAAGGAGATCCCACAGCCTGCTCCTCACCTGGTTTCTGATCAGGCTCGGGCCAGGACTTGCGCAGGACATGGACGGTGGAGCCGGACTGGATGCCATAAAAATCCAGGGTCTGGTCATCCCTCAGCTTCCGGCCACAGTAGATCAGGTCTAGGGGGGAGAAACACCCAAAGATAAACATCTGTGGCCCCCTCAGAAAGGACTGAGGGTCTAAGTGTGACTTAGAGCTCTGGAGGTTATTGCTGCAATTGCTCCATCTGGTCTGGGAACAACACAGGGAAGCTGTGGAGCTGAGGTTCAGTAAGGAAATCATGGAGTTGATATACAGAAGGTGACTTTGCCATCTCCCCCTAGAAGAGTCAACCTCTCTCAGTTCTCATGAGGGATCTCACTAGGACACAGAGGTGTTTGGAAGCCCAAAGACTCCTTAACGAGGGCACTGACAACACCGGAGCTCTGTGATCCCAAGAAAATAGGGAATATTCTATCCAAACCACATGGTATCAGATTTCTGTGTGCAGCAGAGCCTCTGCAGCACACTCTGAGTCCTCACCCCGTGTTATCCGGCTGTGCTGAGCCCTCCCACCACCACCACCAGCAGGATGTTGTGTCCCAGCCGCAGCGAGGACGGGAAAAGGGTGTCCTCAAGCGGCAGGACTGTGACAGGATCCAGGCGGGCACCCACCGATGAGCTCGGGGTCCGGGATGGACTCCTGCAGCTTCCCGGTGATGAGCTGCTTGAGGTGGGAGATGCTGCACCCGCCCAGCGGGCACTCGCCCAGCTCCGTCTCCGGGAGGTGCAGGATGGATTTGGGAGCCAGCGGCTGCTCCGCCAGCTTCACTGCGATGTGCCACTCGGGCAGGGACATGGCGGCCTCTCCCTGAGCGCGGCCGAGCCGGACTGGGACTTGCAGAGCTCTGGAACGGGGGAAAGTGGACCCCAGTGAGACCCCCCCATCACCCAACACACGCCTGAGACAGTCGCGGGAAGCCGTGCCAGCCCCGCCCCCCGCGGCGTAACCAGAGCCCGCCACCCCTCAGGAGGGATCCCAGCAGTGCCAGCCCCAGACCGACCCCCCTCAGGGGTCGCGGCCGTGCCCCCACACACCCCTCAGCTCGGGGGGTCCGGCCGTTCCCCCCCCCTCGCCCAGACCAGCGTTACCGCAGCCCCACGTACCAGAACCGGAAGTGCTCGCGGGCCTCGCGGTGCGCGCTGGGAAATTGAGTCCGCCAGAGTACGTGGGAACGGCCTCTGGCGGAGACGCTGCTGATTGGCTGGCGTGGCTATGACGAGCCAATAGGAGGGCGGCCGAAGGTTTAAAAGGAGGAGCGCGGCCGGCGGCGCGTCCTGCACGGCGCGGTCACCTTTAATTAATCACACCTCATTAATTATGCGCTTGCCATCCCTCCCGCCTGGATGAGGAGCTCCTGCAGATACCCCCCGAACGCAGCAGGGACCGGCTTCCCCAAGCTGAGCGCTCTTCAGCATTATCTGCTGCCCCATCTCCTCATCCTCTCCCAAAAAAGGAGAGGCCACTGCTTCAGCCACCAAATCCTCTGCCAAGGCTCCAACTTTTTCTGACAAGAAGAGCTGTTTGTGTTCTAAAAAAAGCCAAGTTACCATGAAAGTCCAGCCAGGCTGCAAGAGCCACATTCCAGGCACGCTTTCCTTCCTAACAGCTCTTAAAATGGTCCGAGCAGCACAAGGGGCTATGACAGGATTTAAAGAGAATTTAGAAACAAAATTTGGGTAAGTTTTAGCTACAGGCCAGGTTCGAGTCCAAAATCTACCACACAATAATTCAAGGAGACAGAGAACCCACCCTGAAATAAAGCAAAATCAGCTCTTCTAGTGTTTAAACCTTGGAAGTTTATTTGTTTTCCTACAAAGGAACCTAAAGGTGACAAACCTAAAGGTGACAAACCTAAGTTTAGTGTCATCCTATCCGCGTTACACAGGGAAAGTGAACAACCCTCCACCTGCTTCCAAGCCCCAGAGAGCCATGAGGAAGAAGAGCAGGAGCCACAGGAGAACTACAGCCTAACGGGCCATTAAACTGCACATCACTAATTGGTACCTCAACAAATTAATTAAAATGTGGGATAAGGAACAGTGGGACAATTCTGGTCCAAGGTGGAAGGAGGAGGTCATCCCAGCAGGGACAACCCGGGGTGGCTGCCAGCAGCCCCTCTAGAAGCACTTGCGATGGACGATGGAGGGGCCGGACTCGTCGTACTCCTGCTTGCTGATCCACATCTGCTGGAAAGTGGAGAGGGAGGCCAGGATGGAGCCACCAATCCACACGGAATATTTGCGCTCTGGTGGGGCGATGATCTTGATCTTCATGGTGCTGGGGGCCAATGCCGTGATCTCCTTCTGCATCCGGTCAGCAATCCCAGGATACATGGTGGTGCCCCCGGACAGCACGGTGTTGGCGTACAGATCCTTCCGGATGTCCACGTCGCACTTCATGATGGAGTTGAAGGTGGTCTCGTGGATGCCACAGGACTCCATGCCCAGGAAGGAGGGCTGGAATATGGACTCGGGGCAGCGGAAGCGCTCATTGCCGATGGTGATGACCTGCCCGTCGGGCAGCTCATAGCTCTTCTCCAGCGAGGAGGAGGAGGCAGCCGTGGCCATCTCCTGCTCGAAGTCCAGCGCCACGTAGCAGAGCTTCTCCTTGATGTCCCGCACGATCTCCCGCTCGGCCGTGGTGGTGAAGCTGTAGCCCCGCTCCGTCAGGATCTTCATGAGGTAGTCGGTGAGGTCGCGGCCGGCCAGGTCCAGGCGCAGGATGGCGTGGGGCAGAGCGTAGCCCTCGTAGATGGGCACCGTGTGGGTGACGCCGTCCCCGGAGTCCATCACGATGCCGGTGGTGCGGCCGGAGGCGTAGAGGGACAGCACGGCCTGGATGGCCACGTACATGGCCGGGGTGTTGAAGGTCTCAAACATGATCTGGGTCATCTTCTCCCGGTTGGCCTTGGGGTTGAGGGGGGCCTCGGTGAGCAGCACCGGGTGCTCCTCGGGGGCCACGCGCAGCTCGTTGTAGAAGGTGTGGTGCCAGATCTTCTCCATGTCGTCCCAGTTGGTGACGATGCCGTGCTCGATGGGGTACTTGAGCGTGAGGATGCCCCTCTTACTCTGCGCCTCGTCCCCCACGTAGCTGTCCTTCTGCCCCATGCCCACCATGACGCCCTGGTGCCGGGGCCGCCCCACGATGGAGGGGAACACAGCCCGAGGCGCGTCATCCCCTGCGAACCCAGCTTTGCACATGCCCGAGCCGTTGTCCACCACGAGGGCAGCAATCTCCTCGTCCGCCATCCCGACCAGCCTGCGGGCAGGAAGGACAGGGAGCCATGAGTTTCTGCCCAAAGGGGACAGAGCAGGGACAGCACAGAGCCCTGATGTGTCCCCAGGTGCTGAAGGGATTTAATACAGCAGGGAGCCCCAAGAGCAGTGCTGAAGGAGCCCCCCTCTGACATGAGGGGGAATATGGAGGGGTCTTGTAAATTAGGCTCTGAGGGGTCTGTGGAGCAATGTAGGAAGATGCCTATTTTATCTATTTCTTCCCTCAAAATACACATAGATACATATGTATCTGAGAAGACAAGCACAGGTCTAGTGGAAGGTGTCCCAACCAACAGCAAGGGGTTGGAACGGGATCAGCTTTAAGGTCCCTTCCAACCCAAACCATCCCAGGATTCTACGATTCCTGTTCCTTCCCAGGGACCGAAGTGGACCATCAGGGATCCCACACACAACTCCACACACACCTTTACCACAGACCTGAGGAAGCAAAGACCCCCAACATAAAGACCCCCCCCTTCCTACCCTCCCAGGCCCCATACATGGAGGGACCCCTAAAAACCACCTCGAGGGCCCAAACAGAAGTGGAGGGACCCCAAAGCCTCCTCCTCGAGGGCCCAAACGAACACTGAGCCCTCCAAGGACCCCATCGGGCGACCTCAACCCCCCCGAGGGCCCGGGCAGACGCAAGGGACCCCTAACTCGGCCCGAGCAGACACGGAGAGGACTGAGCCCACCCTCAGGGCCCGAACGGACATGGGGAACCCCTAACCTCCCGTGAGGGCCCCAGCGGGGGACACCAACCCCACCCTGAGGGCCCCAAGAGACACGGCGGGACCCCTAAGCCCCGCAAGGGACCCTTCAGCCCCCTGTGAAAGCCCAGACACAAGGAGGGCCCTAACCCTCCCTAAGAGCCGAAACAGACACGAGGGGGATCCTTAGAACCCTCCTCGAAGGACCAAACAGATATGGAGTGCCCGCCTAGACACAGGGCTCCCGGGGCCCCGCTCACCCTCTCGCTCTCCCTCAGCCCCGCCCTCGAACCCACAGCGCCTCCTCAGCGACTGCCCGCACTGGCGCCGTGCGCGCGCCTTTATACCGCCGGAACCGGAAGCCGACCGGCGCTGCGCTGTTTTATTGGTTCCCGTTCGGCCCCCGCCCCTCCCGGAAGTGGGGCGGGAGTTTCCGCCACCGCGCACCGCCCCCGTCGCGCCGCTTCCGCCCGGGCGAGGAAGGGGCGGGAGGGGCAGGAAGGGAAGGAGGAAGGGAGGGAGGAAGGGAGGGCAGGGGAGGAGGAGCCGAAGCGGCCGCGCAGGGACCGGCGGGACCCGCCACGGGAGGTAAGGGGGTGAAGGGTGGGAGTTTGCGGGGTCGGTGGGGCGCTGTTCTGGGGGTCGCGGCACAGCTCCCGTGTTTCCCCTTGAGGGCGGTGAGCGGCGGTTTTGGGTCCCCGCCAGGACGTGGTGGGTCGTTGATGGAGTTGTTTACCAGCCCCCGGAGGTGTCGGTGCTGCTCGGCTCCGGCTTTAACTCTTTCCGTCAGTTCCCGCTTGGAAAGAGCTCTTTCCAAGCGCCGCTGGCGGGCGGTTCCTTAACTGAGCTAGTTAAAAATTGAAATCAAGGGGCTGTTTAACTGAAGGGCTCTCCCAGGGTTTAAAAGCCCTGGGTGGTTAAAGCGGGTCCTGGCCCTGCCCTGGCGGGGGAGAGGCACAGAAAGTGAGGGGGAGCACAAAAAACAAGGGAGAGGCACAAGAGCTGAGGGAGGGACACAGAAAGTAAAAGGGAGACACCGAAGTCAAGGCAGAGACACAAGAAGGAAGGGAATATCCATGCTCAGGCTCTTAAAACCTGGAATGGTTTAATGGTTTGAGCCCCAACTCCAAGTTGTCACCTCAAATCCCGTCCTGAAATTATGGTTTAACTGTTTTCTGTGAGCAAACCACCTCTAAAACTGGCTGCAAACTTGTCTGTCCAGCACAGCAGTGATACTTGCCAAGGGCATATTTGCTGTACCACAAATCCACCCCTCTTGGGAGGATTTAGCCTGGAAAAGAGGAGGCTCAGGGGAGACCTCCTCACTCTCTACAATTCCCTGACAGGAGGTTGTAGCCAGGTGGGGATCGGTTTCTTCTCCCAGGCAACCAGCAGCAGGACAAGAGGGCACGGTCTTAAACTCTGCCAGGGGAGGTTTATGTTGGATATTAGGAAGAATTTTTTTACAGAGAGAGTGATCAGCCATTGGAATGGGCTGCTCAGGGAGGGGGTGGATTCTCCATCCCTGGAGGTTTTTAGGATGAGACTGGATGTGGCATCAGTGCCATGGGCTGGGAGCCACGGCGGGGTTGGATCAAAGGTTGGACTTGATGATCTCGGAGGTCCTTTCCAACCCGGCTGATTCTGTGACTCTGTGACTGTGTGAGGCAGTGATGCAGCCCAGCACCAGCCCTGCCGTGCCCTGTCCCGCTGTTGTACCTGAGCTCCAGGAAACGCGGGCGCCGCATTCCTGGGTGTTGCCGCTGCCCCTGAGGTGTGTTTGCTCTGCGAGTCTCAGGTCATTTATTACCCTCCAGGTCCCTGAGGTGCTCCCAGTGTCCCCGTGCCTGCCCTGCCGAGTGTCCCCCGGGCAGGGCGGGTGACACCTTGGGTGCCACAATACCCACCAAAGTGTGGGCTGGGGGTTCCTGTGCTGCTTTGTGGTGGCTGTTGCAACACCCACACCGGCTCGTGTGTGGAGCCAGGACAGATGGTGTGTTGTGCCTTCCCGGGGAGTCCCAGGCTCTTCCCAGCTGCCAGGTAGTGCAGGGTATTGCTCCTGACATACTAATCCACTTGATGGTGTTGCATTTGCAAGCTGAAGCCACGCCAGGTAAAAATGCAACTGCACCTGCCAGGCTTTTAATTTTCATTGTTACTTAGTGAAGAGTTTGCAGAGGGAAAAATG